AGAGGATGTCTCTCTCCACAAAGCCCATTCCAGAGTGACAGAAGAAGCATCTGCTCTATGATAATATTGGGGGACCTGAATATACCTCTCAGCCCTGGACAGATCATCTGGGCAACAAATCAACAGAGTAGCCACTACTCTTTCTGAGGAAGACAGGAAATCTAGGGTTATCAGAGGTGGGAGGGGGGAGGAAGAGGGGGATGAGGAGAGATTGGACAAGGGGCATAAAGAATAAGTACAATTTGTAACAACATACATCCTAGTAAAATTGATTTGATCAACATATGTCAGCAATGAATCTCAAAAATATAATCAATTATGATTCAATTTTTAAAAAAAAGAAAGAAAAGAAAGCAATTATAAACCAGAGCAATTACGAGCTGTGAAGAAAGAACAGCTTCAAAAAATACGGAAGCAAAAAATTGGCAGAAATTGTGACTGACTGAGATGTTATAAGAAAAGAAGGAATTATTTAGGATGACTCCCACATTTCTAACCTCAACTGTTTTATGACTTGATAGCCTCACTGTCAGATACACTAAGTGAACAGAGAAGTACCTCTCCACTTTGGACTATCCCTCCTTTCTTCCATGCAAACTCTGTTTCCTTCTGTTCTTTTCCCTAGTAAGTGGGGTTCAACCAAACCAGCATTCAGAATTCAACTGATAAAGGGAAGAGAACAGGCTCAGACAAGCTGCCTTTGCTCTTGACATTGCACCAACACCTACAAACATTTTTCCAGTTAGGACTTCCTATCTACTTTCATCCTACATGGGATATTACACAAGATTCTTAACTCTGGCTTATATAACCTCCACTAGCAAACATATTAAGGAGAACTATACTAACATCAATAACCAAGGATAAATGCTAAATATTACCGAATCTTTCCCCATCCTACAACTACTTATCTATGTAACCCTTCTTCTGCTCTCTACTTTCAAATTATTCTATTCATTATCCCAAAACATTTAGTGCTTTCTTCAACAACCCATGTCTTGCTTCTGTTAAATCAAATCCTGGATCACATAGATCGCATTTCACCCATGAAACCTTTCTAAGCCAATTGATCAGAAAGCATTCTTACCCTCTTCCAAATTCTTAACACCACTCAGTAGGCAACTACTAATTATATTTGGTATTTCTTGCCTACACTATCATGTTTCATGAATTAAAAGTCATACTTTATTAGAAAACATTTCTGTAATCAGGATTCCTTTTACAATTGCTATCAGAGGGTAGGTAGTTATGATGCTGTCATTGCTTATACACGCATATCATCAAAATTGCCAACATCAACACTTGCTAGTGACAGTCAAAGGCCTGAAAGAAATTCCCAGAAACAATACTGAAGCACTCTTTTCACCTTGAGGGACCAAATGGTCTGTGAATGGAGTGGAAGGTGGTGAATCCCTACATAGGAGTCAGAAGTAGGCTGGCTTTGCATGACTACAAAGACGAAGGCTGGCACCAAAGCCTTTTCATTCTTTCATGGACTCTTCAAAAGAATGTTGTATCAGCAACAGTTTTGATGGCACAGAGGATGTATATGGAAAATTACAGATATCAACAACTCTCAGTCAAAATTTAGCAATTCCTTAATGTGTTTTTTTACTTGTACTTTCCTTTATATTCAAGGTGTAAGAGAGTGCCATGACAAAAACTAACTCTAAAAGGGCTCTTTTGATAAGTACAAATAAAAATTCTAAGGGATCAAAAAGAACTCTGTATCTTAATGTAATTGGCCATAAAGCATCTTAAATTTATTGCATCTTAGATTCTTAGGTAGTATGAAATATGGCATCAGTGCTTCCACTGTTTCACTTTCCAAATATCTGTCTATATTATGGACTGAACATTTGTGTCCCCTCCAAATTCATATGTTAAAGCCCTTACCCTCAATGTGATGGGGCCTTTGGTAGATAATTAGGTTTAGATGAGGTATGAGGGTGGGGCCTTTTAAGAAGACACCAAATAGCTTGTTTTCTCTCTATACCATGTGAGGGCACTTCAAGAAGGCAGCCATCTACAATCCAGGAGGTAAGCCCACACCACGAATCGAACATGCTGGCACCCTGACTTCTAGCCTCCAGAACTACAAGAAAATAAATACCTGTTGTTTAAATCACCTAGTCTATCGTATTTTGTTATGGTACCCAAGCAGCCTAATACAGTCTGGTCACCTCAACCAAGTATAAGTTCTTAAGTTCTCCTCATGTCTTAGACTTCTATATGGCCCATTTTACCAAACATAGTATATATACTGGTACTACTCAATTTTGGTACCCAAGCAGCCTAATACAGTCTGGTCACCTCAACCAAGTATAAGTTCTTAAGTTCTCTTCATGTCTTAGACTTCTATATGGCCCATTTTACCAAGCATAGTATATATACTGGTACTACTTAATTACATAATGGGAAAAAAATCCTTAAAGCAACAATCTATTTGCCAATTATATCTTCTTAATTCCTAAATTATTGGCCATGGTTCTATACTCAGTACAGGAAAAACAATGTCATCACCATCAACATTAAGGGACAGGGACTTAAAGAAGGACTAACGGAGGCTCATTTTAGCTAAAGCTCTAAATAAAGCTGGGAGGGTAAAAATTAAGTCTCTTACATCCCTGCCCCCTTCATCTTCAATTCCCTTTATGTGTTACAAATAAACTAAAATGAAAGATTACTAATTTTCTGGATGTGAGGCACTTGAAATGCTCAACATCTATTCTCACTCTGAGCATCAAAAGAAACTCTCCCCCAATCAATTTTATGATAATCTAAAGTTGGTGCCTGCTTTGCTACACTGAAGATGAAATGAAGACATAAAAGAGCTGTCTAATATGATGCTAGGCACAGATTCTAAATTCATAGTAAAATAAGATTAAGTCCTAAACTGCTTTACACATACTGAGGACATTGTGATTTTCCCTGCCTGGCCCACTGGCTTGTAATGCTTTTGGAAATAAAATGGACAAATATATAATCTTTATGAAAGTATAAATCAGTTTGTAATGTGCCCACTAATAAATTCAGTGAAGACTTTTAAGAGTATCAAGTAGCAACGCTGGCTAAATCATCCTTATATGGCTTGTACAATTCTCTACAGGGCTCCAATTCCAGAATTAATTCATATTTGTCATAGTCTGACCAGCTCTGATCAGTTCTTCGCATCATAGTACTTATGAAATAAGGTATAACTCTATTACTCTTAAACCTCACAGAGGTTAAATAATGACATTTCATTTGAAAACAAACTAACAAATAAAAATGAAGGTTAACTAAAATAACCCACACACATCAAATTGAAAGTGAATCATGACTCTGACCCTGATGTGGGAAAAAAAATTTTACATTGTCTAACTCAGTCACTATTAGTCATTCTCTGAGGATTTCTGATAGCCAAGGTGTTTTCATTATATTCTCAGTTAGGAAAAAAAAAAAAAGCCATCCAATTTGAAATATTTACCTTTTGGTTGAAGTTGAGGGAAAGTGTGATTATACTGAGAGAAAAATTAATATAGGAAAGTAATTGCTTCGCAGCATTTAGAAGAACAGAAAGTTGATAGCTTCTGGTCTAAAATGTTACTTTTAACTATCCTATTAAGCATGTACTCTTACATTGTCCTCTCAAATGCTCTTGTAACTAGGCCAGATATAAATTGGGGGCGGCGGGGGCGGGGGAGGGAAGACTAGCCAAAGGTCTGAGGTGTTCACATTATGGTGTTAACTCTTTATCCTATCTGAGAATGGAATATTCTAGTTAATTCACTATTATTTTTTAAAAATCACAAGAATTTTCTAAATAAAACACAATTTTAAAGATCTGATAGACAGGGCCGGCCCATGGCTCACCTGGGAGAATATGGTGCTGATAACACCAAGGCCACGTGTTCGGATCCCTATATAGGGATGGCCGGTTCACTCACTTGGGAGAGCGTGGTGCTGACAACACCCAGTCAAGGGTTAAGATCCCCTTACCAGTCATCTTTTAAATAAATAAATAAATAAATAAAAATAAACATCTGACAGTTAAAAAAACTAGCCACATATATTTTTAATTTTTTGCTGATAAGAAGGTATTTCATCATTTTTCAGAGTATTGTATTCACAATAAAAAGTCTAAGATTATGTATTTTTTTAAAAATATGTAAATTTTCTTTTAAATTCCACCTTTAAAAAGGAGGGGAAAGTACACTTTTACCACAGAACTCTGTAAACCTTCTAAATCTCCCAAAAAGAAAGTACCAAGAGAGGAATAAAGTCTTTTCTCCCTAAATTGTTGGTTTACACCCTCTGGTGGCCAAAAGAGCTCCAAAGTCCTATTTTCAGAGTCAGCAAAGCAAGATAAGGAAGCTGCCTTAATGCTTTCTGAGTGTTTCCTACCTAGGACACAAAAAGGACCAATATAATCCCCTGAGAATAAATCTAAGAATGAAAGAGAACTGGAAAAAAAAAGGCAGGGAGGGGCCAGCCCGTGGCTCACTCGGTAGAGTGCGGTGCTGATAACACCAAGGCCCCGGGTTCGGATCCTATATAGGGATGGCCGGTTTGCTCACTGGCTGAGCGTGGTGCTGACAACACCAAGCCAAGGGTTGAGATCCCCTTACCGGTCATCTTTAAAAAAAAAAAAAAAAAAAAAAAGGCAGGGAGACTGAGGATGCTGGTGTAAGGGAAGTCTGGACCTATCTCCTTAATGGCTGCTAAACGAGGGACTTCAGCATCAGTCCCCTAGACTGTTATGCTCCTAACTGAGCTCTGCGTCCATGCTCTCTCCTGTCCTAGGCCAACAGCTATCTTTCAAAAACGTCCGTCTCATCATTGTCAAGATGCTATTTCAAACTCTCCCCAAATTTCCCCTTTATCATTTAGGCTCAATCTCTTCATTCAGAGATGAGCCTTGTTCATCTTTGTGTTCCTGGTACTCAGTCCATTGTCTGGCGTATGATAGACGCTGAATGTTGCATAAATGAAAACTTGAAATATAAAATATAAAAAATAATACTGAAATACAAAATAAAGCAGAATCATAAGAGAGGTGCTCCATGGCAATACGACAAAGCAATAGCTGCAAATAATTAATTATTGATTCAAAAACATTCGCAATTATTGTCCATTCTCACATAATTTTAAACATTCATCCATAGCCCAGATATGTATCTTTTGAAGCTGTAATTTAAAAAGCACTATTGGGCCGGTGGTGCTGATAACACCAAGGCCACGGGTTCGGATCCTATATAGGGATGGCCGGTTTGCTCACTGGCTGAGTGTGGTGCTGACAACACCAAGCCAAGGGTTGAGATCCCCTTACCGGTCATCTTTTAAAAAATAAATAAATAAATAAAATAAAAAAATAAAAAGCACTATTGGCAGACATGCTTATCTGTGATTGTCTCTAATTAAGTAGTTTATGTGGTTACATTTTATTATCTACACTTTTGCTTTTATAAGTTTTAAATTAGTTTCTAGATTTTAAACATTAGTCTAATGAATACAAAATCAGTTTTCTAAATCATTACAGCATTAACTAATTTTTAAAGATAGATATTACTCTGAAAAAGGTTTTAAGAATGTGTGGCACAAACAAATGGTTATTTGCTCTAGGATAAAAACTAAAATTTCCTCCTTCCATTAGAGAGGAACACTTTCCTTAAGCAGCATGACAGGATGCCATACCTGTGTGAAGAACAGAGAACTGTAGTCTCCAGGTCTGTCACTCTGTTTTCTCCCTCGGGCACTAGGAATTTCAAATAAGAACTTCTTTTAAAGTCATAAATCACTAAACAAATTCAAATAATATGACTCCAATTCAGAGTGAGTTAAAATAAGCATTTCCTTATCCAACTATGTTGTTAAAAACAGAATTTTGACATTTGCTTAGAAAAAAATGGTACTTAAAGCTTATTCAACCTTCCCCCCTTATTTTATTAGCCCTTCTAGCAGTTGATTCAGTCCTGTAATGAAGGTAAGAGGCTTATATCACGAATTCAGGCTCTAAACCAAGTTTGATGCTGGGAGAGTTGCGGTCTTCTTCACTAAATTTGGGTTTTCAAGAATCAAGGCAAAAGAATATAAGTAAATTGTACTGGGCTAGCAAATTTCGGAGTAAAGAGACCCACATATTCAAGAGCTTGCAGCTTTAGTTAGCAATTTTTGTGTCTTTGGGCCTCAATTTCTTCATCTGTAAAATGAAGCTAATATGCCCGCCCTCCCCAACTCATTGTGAAGGATTGTTGAGAAGATAAAGTATGTGAAAAATGCTTTGTAATATAGAGCACCGATACACTGACTATTATTATCCCAGTTCTTATTAGTATTTTTCAAACAAAATAAAGGTATCTTTCTACCAAGACCTCATCACTTCCATTTATTTAATCTTATGCTCATATTTTTCAACACTGCCACTTCACTCTCCCCAACCTTTTAGAAAGAGATTTTCCTCCTTAGTGATAGTGTAAAAAAGATAAGTATTTAGACAAAAGAGCATTAAACCTTATCATCACTTAAATTAAGTGGAAATAACATGGGAATGTGACTCTGGAGCACTTTCTTCAGTCCATCTGTTTTGAAGGACTGCTAATTGAGACAATAGCTTGTGTTGAATGCATACACAATTTCCTTTGCTCTCTATTTAATTATTGGCAAATTTAGCAACTGCTCTTGACTGATTAGAGACTATATTCAGATGTTACTTAGTAAAGCTTTACTTCTTTAATATGATTAGATCATCTAAGAGCTCGTCACAGTTTAGTTCCTTTTACTTCATTAATTAAGTTTACCCTACCCTCCCCCCAAAAGAAAAATAAATCTTGAGCTTTGTAGGAAAAGACACACTACTATGTTCCAACAAAAGTATCTTTGATTACAGCATTATACACACACTTTGATAAAATAAGCTATACTTTGTTCTCTCAAACTATGCTTTTGTACTCTGCAAATTAAGCATACCACAGGGACTAGTTCTCACTGGTGGGATAAAAACATGACTCCTTCTCCATGTTGAAACTATTTAAATAACTTACTAATATTTCTTCTTGAAGCCATGTATGTAAATGCATCTGATGTTACTTATGTCAAGGAAATTTCTCCTGAACTGCCAATATTCCCTATTTCTATTTTGATTATTTAAATTGGGGAGAGAAATTAGGAGGGAGAGAGACAGAAAAAGCACTAGGGCAAAGAAAGAAAGAAATAGATGAGAAAAGAAGATTCAAAGAAGACTGCTGGGCTACTTAAGGATGACATGATCAAAGTCCATATGATCACTTGTGAAAGGAGCTCTCAGGAGAAAGAGAGGCCTGGAGACCAGGAAAGCAAATGAAGGCAGTATATGGCTCTTCTGTTCTACTCTGCAGTTACTGGGAAGGTTCTCTATTCTGGCTAAACCAGTACTACCATAGCCACAAGCAGGTTATCAGCTTATTTCTAACATGTCTTTTCAGAGCAAGTGACAGAGGGAAGAAACATGGGTCAGGAAGCAGATAATAAATCACAAGTAGCCAGGCAGGTTACAACAAAGCATATTTGAAAACTACAAAAACACCATACAGGCATTTTGAGTTTGGCAAAGACTACAACTCAAGAATGATGATATTTTCTGGAGCCAAACAGATTCATGAAACGGTGCTTTCTTCTGGGATTTACTCGATGTTCTGAATTCCTCCTTCTGGCTCTCTCCTTAACCTTGAATCAAACAAATGGTCAGAGAAGATCATCCATTACACATTTTGGTACATGATAAACTATAAGCAGTTACTTGCTGATCTTTTTCACTGTTATAGGAGAAATATCCAGGAAATTGAGAAAGACTTGACAACCTTTCCTCCTCAGGAGCAAGCAAGCAAACATGACTGCTCAAAAAGCCTCGCCCACACCTGTATACTCTGGTGTAGTTCTCCAAGTAAAAAACATGGACATCCCTGCCTCCCCCCAGAATTAATGGTCTGCCTATCAGAAATTCTATTCATATTCCTTTTTTTTTTTTTTTTGTGACCGGCTGCACCACACTCAGCCAGTGAGCGCACTGGCCATGCCTATATAGGATCTGAACCCGCGGCGGGAGCGCTGCTCCGGAGTGCGCCATGGGCTCAGCCCCTATTCATATTTCAAGGCATTGTTCTAAGCTGCCTCTTCCAGGAAGGTTTCCTAGATAAATCAGACAGAAAGTGAGCTTTCTAATCAGGGACCTGCACTCCTACACAGGTATGTCATTTACACCCAAGTCTTCATAGTCCTGACAAACTAGTTATGGGCAGTCTTTTTATCCACAGTGGATTCCTAGAATTCTGTTGGGAGAGGGGCTGTATTTTGATTCTTTTGAAATCCCTTTGAGACCTTGCAGAAAAAGGCACTTAATTGCCATTTTTTGAATGGCTGCATTTGGAATTATAACAATTAGAGGACAAATCTTTTAGATTCAAGTACTTGCAGCAGACCTCACCACTAAGTTCTTTTTTCTATCATATTTGAGATGAGCTGCAGCACCAAATAGTTCTCATGAGCTTAAGAAAATTAGCTCTCTACTGCTACTGTTCCAAGCAAAGGGTAGGTTTCAATTGTTCCCAGATCCTAATCTGAAAAATGTAAAAGGCCCAAATGCAATCAAAGAGAACATTTGTTGGTCTTACAATCATTCCCATATGCACCCACACATAACCACAAATGCTGCAGATGAAAACTGTGAGCTTTGAAAGATTAGCATCTTCTCTTGCTCTAACTACAGAGACATCAAGTGAGCATCAATAGTGCCAAGCATTAGGATTAATAGATTAAGAATCTAGTCCTAGCACCCTCCCATTAGATTAGGTAACGTATTTCTCAACCTTTTTAATCTATCTATACCAAGTTCTTGAGAAACATAAAAATACCACACCCTTCTATGATATTTGGTTTTATAGTAACCCAACATAAAATTAGAAGACTATATCCCTTTCTAAATGAAACTAATTAGAGATTCTGTTATACAGCCTATCAAGCTCCTCCAACCACATCTCCCCACAGTCAATTCCACTGGATTATGGAAGATCCAACCAGCTTTTAAATCATTCTAGAGGACCCAGGAAACCCATGTTACATCAATATCTGGAGTTTTGCATTTCTTCTGAGAAAAGCTATCTAAAATTTAAGTCAAAAAATCTCAAAATCGATCCCACAGTTAGAAGAAGCAAGATGTAAAAGCAATTGAGGAATATTTAAGAAGAAAAACAAAATTAAAAGCAAGGCCCAGATGATGGGGCTTTATGGCTCCAAACATAATATCTTTTTACACCCCCTCTCCCCAGCATTGGACACTCCTTCTGAGAACTGCGGTTACTGATTACACTAAAATTGAATTGAACTAAACTAGAATAAAGGGCATATTTACACACTTAGGAGAGAAATATCTGCAAAGGTTAGACATAAAGAAAAGAAAGCCTTTCCCCTCTTCCCATAAAATATGCCACTCCTGCCCTCCTCCACACAAAAATAACTGAAATTTTAAGGTTTTGATCAAAGAAAACTGCTTATGTCTCAAGCTGCAAAGAACCACTGGCACAGGTATACGTTAAGGACTTTTGATCTGCTTCCCATCTACTAGAATCTGTGCAATGAAAGGCCAAAACCCATCTCAGAAGGAAAAATCTGTTATCTATACAAGCATTTCCATTTGACTTAATTTTGTTGTTTATCTTGCCATTGATCCATTCCTGAAATAGAGTAAATGTCAGTTAGCAGCAACCAGAACACATCCTCCTCCAACAGACTGTCAAGACCATCAGCAGGAAGGGCTGCAGCAGGGGTGAGCAGTTAAAGAAGCCAGAGACGCCCAAAGGCCAAGGCCATACGGGCAAGCATGACAAGCACAGACAACTTTATATTACCTCTTCCCAACTTTATAATCCCTCCTCCAGAGTGGGTCAGTGTAATCCTTTCTCTACTACTGGTCAAGGCAGGACACGATTTCAAAGACTCCGTACACTTAGCTTTGAAATGTCCTTAGCTTAACCCAAAACTATTTGTGTGAGGATTCTGTGGGTGCTTGCCCATTACATCATTATACTCGTATCACCTCAGGGTGGTCCTGAAGCTATTAGCAGGAGGGAGGTTAAGGATTTCAGAACACGGTGGAAACCTGTTTTTAAAAAGGTGGGCATAAAAAAATATGAAGGCAAGAAAGTGGAAGGTAGGAATCTGTGAGATTTGAAGCAAGCACAGATTGACGCTGTCCACAGCCCCCTTATTCAGCCAGGTCTAAGTCACGGTGACGCTTTCTTGCACCTCAGCTTGCGAGGAAAAGTAATTCTAATTGTGCCCACTTCTCTTCCATCAACTCTCCGTATGTGGCAGCAGCAGGACACACCCCCTGCCAACCTACAAGCCTCCACCTAAGCCTATCCTTCGGCGCCCATCCTTTCCAAGGATCCGGGAACGCCCTGGCAGCCCAGCTCCCTTCCCTTCCCCTCCTGACGCCCCCCAATCCCCTCCCGGGGGTCACAGCCATCTCTCTGGCACATCCAACTCCGGACTATGTCATTGGAACACTTGGCCCTCAACGTCCTTTCGCCTTCTCCTCTCCGCGACTCGCCCGCCCACACCAACGTCCTCGACTCCTCTTCAGACCCACGACGATCAGCCCCAGGTCCCTGGCATGGGAGGCTCCGCACGGTCCCCGCTCACAGTGCCCCATCCTCCGGGTCAGGGCCAGGTCCACGCCTCCGCTCTGACCCGGAGCCAGAGTCTCCTCGGGCCTAGTCAAGG